GCATTGCTGCACGCCAGTCTAAATTTTCGAATTCTCCAAAGAACTGGGCGTTGGCGTCCGATTCCGATAACCGGCGTCGAACAAGCATGAATATCTGTGCCGCGTACAAGGTGTGTTGTCGTCGGCATTCAGGAAAAAGAAAACTTCACCGAGCAACAATGATACTTGCAGATATCGCGTTGACGTACGAATTCCTTGAAGGCTGATTTCGAGGACTTCGTACTTCCCCTATTGAAATTTCACGATAAATCCACGAACCAACAAAACACGAACTTACAACTAAAATATTCAAAACGCCTTAGAAACAATGCGCTTCACAAAAATCGACGTTACAGCTTTCATTAACGATAACGATACTAATAACTTCCAACGATCGCAACGAAACACTCAGAAAAATGACAAAATCGAGGGAAAAAAGGTCTACACCGTACGATCCAAATGAACTGCCCAGAATCCAAATCTAAACGACCCACCCACGTCGGTCATTCAGCCAATAATCCAAAAACTCGGCAATTACGCCCAGCAATAAAAATGAAAAAGGAAAAAAGGGGAGGTAGTTTCACGAGTGAACGCGAGTTTAATTCCCCGGCACAAAGTACGAGGCACCCCGTATAAAGAGCGCAGGCCGAGGCGGACTCACCCCCTCCCCCTGCCCCGTCGATATGTATGATTTGGCCCAGAATCCCGAACGTTCGTGGCAGAAAGAAAGGGAGCAATCGAATGCATCCCCCTGGCCTTCTTTTCCGTGCTAGCGGCCGCGTAGACAGACCCTGGGATATTTCTTTCTCTCTCCGCTTCCACTTCCATTCCGCCCCTGCTGTCCCGATACCCAATATTGTTAATCTATTCGTTCGTTCTTGGCACGGGATCAGACGAAAGATTGCTACGGTCAACAGCGTAATTCAGTCGCTCGAGACGGCGGCGGCGACCCTTTCCGCTCACGCTAGATTTCACCCGTGAAACACACATTCGCGCACACATGCACGGAGGGACACGTACACAGAGGAGCGCGCACAGGGTGGGCGACTCGGTGATTAGGCGAACTGATGGATGGGAAAACATCGAACTTGTTAGGTGTCCTTTGAATCGGGGACCCGGGAAATTTCAGCAATTTCTGGAACGACGAAACGGGCCGGGATAGGGGGGCGAACAGCCCCGGTAATTTAACATCTCGAGGACCATCTTCGCGGAGTCGCGTTCGGCATCTTCTAAGCCAAATATTTCTCCTCCCTTTATGTTACCTTCCATTCGTGAGCGCCGCTTTTCGGTTCGCTGGAACTACCCTCGATGTCGGGGTGAATATTTATGCGGGGATCTCGGAGTGTGTCTGGAATTTCGGGGAACGCGATGGGAATTCCTTTGGTTTCGTAGCGTAATGATGGAGGTAATTTGATGGGGGGGACTTTTTCGTAATTCGCGTTTCGCGAATTTGTACCTGTTTAATCTGGTTTATGTCGTATCGCTCTGTAGAGGGTGCGAATTGATTTAACACTAAAACTACCGAACAATTACATTGACTTTTTGTTCTACATTGACAATTCTATCGAGACTTGAATTGATCTGCAATTCACATTGCGTATCGCTGAATCAAATTCTTTAATAATTTCTCAGAGAAGATATTAAAAAAGTAGAAAGAGAAGATATTTTGACCTGTCTAGTAGTTTCAGTGTCGATATTCCATTTTGGTACTCAACATACTAGAGTATCGAAGGGACAGAATCAGCGGACACGTCCAAAATAATTTTCCTTCTCATTCGAACGAGTGAACACGAATTTTTCCAATCAACGGATAAAACAATTTACTGCTGAATAATATATAATCCAGATACACTACTCGATTAGCAAGACGTCGTTCTCACCGTAATTCCATCGTTCCAATTTCCTCAAATAAATGTGACACTCGTCGAAACCAGTTCTATATACCCCCGATCAAGGGATCAGAATTCGCAGCTTTCATCCGGCGCACGGTTCGCGCCCACGTCAACGATCAAACACCGCGTAACGTCTTTCAGACATTCGGTCCTCATCGATCAAACGAGTAAAGTGCGCTATTCAAGTCGTTAAACGTTCCGAATTCTAGAGATCGACATTTTCCCGTTAGCGCGACGGTGCGCCGGCTCTCGTTCAATTAACTCGCACTTTGCCCGTCAATGGGCGAATCAATCGGCTGAATGTCTCTCGTGAAAGCCCCGCTCTCTCTTCCTACCGCGCCCCCCGTGCCGCCCTCTTCGGCCCGCGAGGGACGTAAAATCGCCGTTTCCCGTAATTAATAGTAAGTATCCGGCAGAAATGGTAATTACGTGTCACGCGCGATGATTATCCGTGAAAAAAGACTGTCCCAGCTGGTTACCTCTATCCGCGGCGTAGCGCGCCCTCCACTCGTCCTCATTCCTTCTCTCATTTGTCTCGTTCCACGCTCGCCTGTGGCTGACGCTCTCCTGACACTATCGGTGACAGACTCTTCGAGATTGGTATTATTTTAGCCAGCCTATTTTCCTGCTTTAATGAAACTTTCTAGGAAGCGAATTCACCTGTTAACTGTGCAATTTAATTTCGGAAATCTCTGCTAATGCACCGAGAGCAAATAATGAAGCGTACACTTGTCTAACGCAGGCCGAATGTACCTGTAATATATTTTAACGGCGATCTAAAGCAGAACGAAGAAGAATTACATGTTTATCTCAAACGATGAATAATCGTTGAAAGAATTAGTATCATTCTGATTTTAAGGGTATACGAGTGTATACTCGTCGAACGCAGTTGACTGGTTAAGATAGATCTCTACGGACACGAATTTATTTTGACAGTGCGCATTGTTGGAGTACTGGAGATTTTACCGAGTTCTTGTCATGCATAGCAGATGGAGTAGCTGCTATGAGTAGAGCGAGGTTTTTGATTCGAAGTTGGAACGTTTTCTACGAAATTCGAAGCAAGAATTGATTAACGATTCAGACTTTGTATCGAAAATATCGATAAATTAAGTATTAATGGAGTATGTAAATTCTTCCGAAATTTTCCTTTGTTTCCTTAAACGATTAGATCGCAATATTGAATACTTATAATTTCCTGTTCGACGCATATTGCCGACACATACGCCCCTATGAAAACGTGTCAAATTGGTGGACGGAAACAGCGGAATTCATTGTCCACCGTTCGCGTGGCCGAATCGCGCATGTTGTTACACGGGAAAATATTTGCGGAAAATATCCGTCTTGTTACGATACGCGGAGGCCGGCGCACGACAAATATTGAAGAAATATATGAATATTTCGGGGTGAAATTGCGGCGTCCCGTTGAAACAGAGTTGACGACTCCGCGACTCGTTTCGGGCAATCGTGCCCGCGACTGATTCGTATTCCTATATTCCTGTTCAACTACATTTACTCTTTATTTCCCCGAATACCCCAGTACAACAAAATTCAACCATCTCGTATATCCAGCTCTTCGCCGACAAATATGCAATCACACCGTTCACGAAAAATATCTAACTCGACTCGACGAACGCAAATAATCCTATATCCCCGGTGCAAATGTTGGACAGCGAACGAAACGAACGCAACGCCGCGCGGTCTGGCAGTGATATTACTGAAACGAAACAGTTTCGAACTGGAAATATTCGAAGTTGATTTCCGGCGCGGTCCCGCTGTAAGCAATTTACGGGTTTCGGGTAATTATGATGATAACGCGTTCCCGGCCGGCATTTCGGTCGCCGGGAAATCTGAATCTGGTTCGGTTGTAACGAATCGGTCCTATTTGCATGCGAGAATTATGCGCGGGGTCGGTCGTCGGCGCGCATAAACTTGCACCAGCCCAGCCGCGTTCCGCGCATTTGCATCAGAATCACGCGGGCGAACTTTTATCGGGCCAGCCCCATCGGCCGATATTGAAACGCGGCCGATGGGCGGCCGCCGTTACGCGAGGTGCCCGCCGTTAAGTCCCGACGCCGTTAATGCGCCTCATGATCCATCTATACAACGGTTACGCCCATTAATAGCCGCGACTGAGCTTGACTTTGAAAAGTTCCGCGGGAGTAGCGATTTGCATAAGAAACACCGGCCGTTTCGCGACGGCTCCAGCCGTGATAGAGACTGAACGCCTCGAACTTCCATCCGGCTGAATCAATTAAGCGGCTCGATGAAAAGTTGATGCCCACTTTCGTTGCACCCCTTGCTCGAGCGCGGAAACTTTGCGAAGATGATGCGAAAACGGGGAAATGGGAGCGGGAGCGAATCGGTGCGAGGAATTTGTTTCTTTTGGTGTCTTTGGTGGTTTAGTGGTTTTGATCAATTTGGTGGTGCAATTGTTTTTCGAGTTCTCAGAAGTTCAAATACTCAAATATTCAAGTTTTAAAATTTTCAAATATCTGAATATTAAAATATTCAAGTTTTAAAATTTTCAAATATCTAAATATTAAAATATTTAAGTTTTAAAATATTCAAATATTCAAGTTTAAAAATTTTTAAATATTGTAATATTCAAGTTTTAAAATTTTCAAATATCTAAATATTCAAATATTCCAGTTTTAAAATTTTCAAATATCTAAACATTCAAATATTCAATTTAAAAATTTTCAAGTATCTAAATATTCAAGTATTCAATCTTTTTGATTTTCAAATATCTAAATATTCAAATATTCGAATTGTTTCATTCTCAGATATCGAAATATCCAAACAATCGAATTTCTTAATTTTCAGACACCCAAATACCCAAATATTCCAAGTTTTCAATTCTCCAGTATCTAAACATTCAAATACTCAAATCTCCAAACACTGCAAACTCGAATCTCCCAAACTCTATACTTTCTACACTCTACTTAAGTACATCAATTACATCAACAACCTACACTGTCCCCCCGCTCTCTTTCAACCTCCCTCCAACCCACCTTGAACACTCAAGAAAAAAAAGTAAATCCAACTGAAACCATCATAGCAATCACAAAAGTCCCTACAATGGACTCGCACGCAAACCCGACTGAAATCAGTTACGAATGCTCCACTGACCTTGGTGTAGACACCGGCGCTGGACAGTTCGTTCTCGATGACCATTACGATGATGCCGAACATGCCCATGACGAGCGCGTAGTCGCTGATGCGTTTCCGCTTCTCGAACAGGGCCTTCCGTCTGCCCAGCCGGTAACCGACGTTCGGTTTGTGCTTCGAGCCCGGCCCTATGCTGCCCGATGGGCCCTTCATCGGCCCGCCGCCGGCTAGCACGCGGTCGTCCATGTACCGAGGGTACTCCGAGTGGACGCCAACGAGGGCGATACCGGCGTCCTCGCCGGTCCCGGTAGCACCGCCGCTACCGCAACCAGCACCCCCGCCGCCGCTCCCGGCGCCACCAACGCCGCCGCCACCGGCCACGCCGCCGCTGTTCTTCATCGCCCCCGGGATCGAGAGAGTCGACACTGGCTTCCGGAGCTGGAAAAAATTACAGATCCCTTTTAGCAATCATTGGCTATCTTAGCTACCCTTTTAGCTTCTTCATCCTCTTCGTGTTCCGTTCACGGAGCTATCTATCTGTGGCAACAGGATACTCTTTCACCGGTGATTGAGGGGATCGAGGAATCGGTGATTGGAAGATATTGTCTGCAGCTAGATCCATGGGTGCGCTGATTTCTAGTTGGCAGCTAGGATGTGTAGATTATACTAATCTCTGATTCCTTTGGGCGAGGTTTATTTAACCAGTTTATCGTGGAATAAATAAATTTGATTTATTGCTCGTGGAAATACTTCAACATCAACAGTTACCTTTATACAATTTCTGCCTCCTGTATACCAAATTTTTTAAATTCATTTTCAAACTTTTTAGACGTATACAACATAGAAATACTTTCTTTAATCTTCAAGAGTAACAAATCATTCGACAATAATCAACTGAAATTTCCTAGCGATCAGTGTCTCATTAACCAGTTAACTGTGGAATTTAGTTGGAGAAACCTCTCGTTCTGCGCAATAAAATAAAAGAATGGAGCGTGTACTCGTCGCAGGTCGAATGTACGTAGAGTATATTTTAGTGAAAGATCAAAGCGAAACAAAGAATTACATGTTTATGAAAATAAAGAATTCATCGCGGAAAGAATTATTATCATGTCAAGCTTTACGATGACGTGTACACTCGTCGAACACAATTAAGTGGTTAAGATTCCTACGAATCTTGCGATTCAAGTTGTGTCATTTCAGAGATTTGGCAATGAATTTTGTTTTTACTCATTCTACGCTGATATGTACACCAATTTTCTTAATCATTTCGTATACAGTGATACATTTCTAACCAATGTAATAGGCGTAACGCAACAAGATCGTCAATGTGCGAAAGGCATAATTGAGAATTTTGCAACAGAACCGTCTCGACGCGCATGGCACGTCCTTCCAGCGCGTGGTTAATATTCTTGTGAAATAATCATGAGGTATACATCTAATTGTTCATTCGCCAAGTGTTAAGGGAAGCGGCAATAGCTTCGCCGGACGAATAAAACCGCGAGTCACGCGGGATTATTAATACTCGCGGCGACTCGCGAACGATGAAGTTGCGAAGGAGGTGCTTAAGGTGAAATAACGGACAATAGATCGTTTCGAAGAGCTTCCGGCGAGCGGGTTCCCCCCTTGGACAGGCGGAAACGTTCCCTGGATGGTAATCGACGCGTCGGACGTCGAAAGCCAGCGGGGTTTTCGGGAAAACAAGAATCAACGTGACAGACAGTCGGTGCGGGTACGCTCCCTCGACGCGATCGGACCGAAGCTTTTCTGGGTTAATGCCACTGCAGCTGGTCTGAGTGCTAGAATAAAGTAGCGACGCCGCGGAAGATGTGTGTGCGGCGCCGGGCCGCGGCGGGGAAAATCTTTAGTGCCGCGGCAACTCTGTTAGGAAACCCTCGGGGAAGGTGAAAAGGCTCTACAGTACAAAAGTACTTACGCGAGGAATAAAAATTCGCCGGGGAGGGAATATTTTCGAAATAATAACGCCTTCCCCGCGATAGAATCTGGCCCGGGGAATTATTTATGGGATTACTTCGGATTCAATTTTCGTTTTCAGCTGGAATTCTCTCTCGCGGAAATCTTGACAAAGGTGTTTATCGCGTCTTTAAGATCGATGGTGAAGGTTTTGAATTTTATATGTGCTTTGTGGACAAAGATAAATTGCAGTTTCAAGCTTTTAACATTTTTGAAGTCTGTGTTTATTAATACATTCATAGGAGACGAATATTAGATGAAGGCCTAACTGCTGATGATCATACTGCTATACCTTCGAATATCTATCGAGTGAGAGATTTTCTATCAATCTTTTTCATTCCGCAACCATATAAGGTAGTCTAGCAGTCGCTGCGAATTTCTGTTCTAACAGGTTCCAAGAGAAGCCATTGAAGCGCTCGTAGTGCTAGAAGACTGATCATTGACCTATGCGGCTTGTCGATGGTATGTACGAAGTCTTATGCGGTAGCTGACTGGAATACTTCCGAGTCAACGTCTTCACACGAGTCCTACGTTTTATCCGAATATACCGAAAGTTACATCTATATTCCTAACATCCGACAGCCTTAGATACTGTTAAAATACTCCCAGATACCACTAAATGCTACCAAATTGCCCACAAAATGCAATTCCCTCTACGCCGCGGTATCCTACCACAAAGTTCATCGATAATACACATAAAGCATCGATCGTTAGACTCAATGAAAATCACAAGTAATCACTTTCGAGCTGAATTAACGTCGCCGAAACATAAACGTTGCATTCACCGAAGCTGGCGCGGTATCTCCTCCATATCCCAGCGTTACGATTAAAAACCGCCGCTCGTAAATTCATCAATATCCGACGCGGGGGTCGTCGAAGCCGGGCAGATCGGTGCTACGATTTTCCGAGATTATTACGGAATAAAATTTATCCGCGGGTTACGGCTCCGGTCGCGTCCGAAAAATTGCGCGTCCGCCCCCAGTAAAATATCAAGTGCACGTAAAAAGGTGTCCGCGCTCCGGCGAGCTTTTATTTCATTCGCGGCCGCGGCTCGGACGCTTAACAGCGCCGATGGAAGAGCGCACGGGACACGATGTCGGAATACGAATGAAACAACGCGAAGAAAAAAGGGGTGCCCGGGCGGCGGGGGTTGGAAAATCTCGCGTCGCTGGCACACGTTCCGCACGTGTCCCGGCTACCTACTGCTGCGTGTCTCTGTGCGACGCGAATGAAATAAGACCACGGGGCTGAACTTTAGGAACGCGCGATGCTCGGCTGCGACACGAGCGGGACGCATCCGAGTTCGGCGCGAGGAGTCCTAGCCGATTCGAAGATGTTCGACCGTTAATGATGGTTTTTTCGGGGAATTGTGATTGGAAAGGAATTATTTTAGGGTAAGAGATGAGGATGTATGCAACTGATTTGAGTAATGTGAATGTAGAAATTTATCGGCTCTTGTCAGTTATATTTAAGGGTGGGTTTTTTTACCTTTAAATTTCTGTCAGTGTTTAATTTGATGTTTTTTGGGGAATTGTGATTAAAAAGGAATTATTTTAGGGTAAGAGATGAGGATGCACGAAACTGATTTGAGTAATGTGAACGTAGAAATTTATGGGATTTGTGAGTTGTATTTACGGGTTGGTTTTTTTAATTTTAAACGTCTGTCAGTGTTTAGTTTGATTTAAATGTGATTTAATAAATTGATTCACTAATTTATAGATTATTTAGATTAGACATAGGGACATTTGATACGCTGAAATTTTACAATATTCGATATATTTGTGACGTTACAAATATTTCCAGTAAAAATTGTTGAAACGCGGTCATTGGAATAAAATTGAACATCTATTTCTAGGTTACAAAGGTTCAACGAAATTGTAATTACTTTATAGATTACTCTCAAAATCATCTTAAAGCAGGGTCACCAAAGGACACAGAAGGTTAAAAGCAAATACAGATTAACCTGCGTCGAGCAACAAGTATCGCGTACGAAACATAAATGTATCGGATGAGTTCCAGTCTTATCGGCCGCTGATAGAAGTTCGGCCTAACCAATGGGACGGTAGAGCAGCATCATTCACGGGCGACCCTTGATTTGGATCAACCGGAAATCCCGGTCAAGGAGGTGGCGATCGGTCGTGGATGGAGTCCCGACCAGATGAGATCGATCGCGGTTAGTGTTCAGGGTAAATGGTGAACGGCGCTCGCACAGGCGAAACGAAAGCTGTTGACTCAATGGTGAAAAATTGGCTTCTTCGAACCGTCGCGCGGAATGGCAAAGCTTTGGCGGAGAACGAAACGAGTGCGTTCCGTGGATGCATAAAGCGAACGCTTTGAATCCCCGTACGTCTTATTTCGTGAAATAAGAGGGAACCGAACGCGCGAAATCTCGCGGATAAGGAAATCCACGGTGACTCGTTAATATTTTCATTTTAGAGGAAGCGCGAGGTTCCGGCCGGAAATAGATTCGGAGCGTTGAGAATGAGAAGCCGCGAGCGTTTATCGTCGAGGACTATTATCAAACGACGGCACCCGTCATCTATACAAATTTAGCCACTCCGTCGTGAACCGTACATTATGGAACAGACCATTTGACAAGAGTAACGATGAAAAGTTGGCCGAGATTGCGCGAGATAACATCGCGTAAAACACATTCATCACCGTTTACCTTCCCCTACTTATCTGAGTTAATTTCATTATATATTCAAGCGCAGCGTCCGTTATCTTTCCCGAATGCGCATTTTATCAAGCCATCAAGCTCCACGTCCGCACCCGGGTATAATATGAACGTAATTTAATTTCATATAAACCCGGGTGAACGTTGTTTTTACTGTCGAAAATTTTACGCCTCGCCATTAATTTCGAGAGAGTCGGGGACGAGTGGAATTCTGCAAGACGATTTTCGCAGTCTCTCCCTGCCACGGCATCTCGAAGGAGGAATAATTTACATGGTCTACTTCGAGTGGACATAAAACGGTGTCCTGCTTGGTTATCCTGTGTTTCGCTCTCCTCGATTAATCTCGCAGATTATAAACCGTAAAAGTATCATAAAAAAGTGCGTTTAAAAAATGGAAGGAGGCCAGCATCGGACTTTACGAGTTGAACGAAAAATTAGATTCCAGAACAACCCCGGGCAACTGGACCCACTTTTACGAGCCGGAGACTCGTTCTCCCTTGATTTACTCTCGAAAATGATAAAACTGTATCACATTTGATTCTGTATCACACGTAAACAGACCGAAACTTCTGAACGATTAACCTATTATTCGTTTATCTCAAACGATCGAATATCAATCTTTTATCAGAAACAAATCGCCGACCGGAAATAACTCGGTTCTCATTTTCGTCTCGCTTTCGCCATTAACACTAAAACTATCAGACGGACCAGAATGACCCCTTGATTTCCTCGAATATTTCTTTGACAGATGATTAAAGAAATTGATTTAGTAACACAACTTAATTATAAA